CATATGAGTCTACTGCCTGGATGTATGTGAGTGCACCCATGTCATGCAATGTCATGGAGGTCAGAAGAGGGCTTTGGACTCCCCTAGAACTGGAGTTAAGGATGGTTCGTAGCTGCCATGTGGGTGCTAGGAATTGAACCTGGGTCCTCTGCAAGAGCAGTCAGTGCTCTTAACCGCCGAGCCAGCTCTCCAGCCCCTATTTATATTTTTAATTATGTGTGTCTATGTGTGGGTTTGTGCAAGTGAGTGCAGTGTCTGCAGAGTTCAGAAGACATTGGCTCCCCTGGAGATGAAGTTACAGACAGTTGTAAGCTGGCCAATGTGGATGTGGGTGCTGAGAACTGAACTCTGGTCCTCTGGAAGAGCTATCTCTGTAGCCCCTGCCCCAGTCCATTTAGATACAAAGCCCATCCACATATATTATCTCATGTGTTCCTCACAAAATCTCATTAGGTAGAACATGAGACTCACAGGGACCAAGCAACTTCTCTAGAGTCAACACACAAGTGGTAGAAAGGGATCTAACTTGTTAGGGGTTGAGTCATTGAATCACTTTTATTTATTTTTCAGTGCTGGGGCTTGAACCCAGGGTCTTTTTGAGACAGGGTCTCCCTGTAACCCCAGCCTGCCTGGAACTTCCTATGTAAACCAGGCTGGCTTCGAATTCACAAAGATCTGCCTGCCTCTGCCTCCCAAGTGCTGGGATTAAAGGCCTGTGCTGTTATACCTGGCTTCTGAACCCAAGGTCTTATACATGCTAGGCAAGTGCTCTCCCCCCCCCCCCACGCTAACTCCCAGCCTGGGGTTTTTTTTTTTTTTAAAAAAAGATTTTTGTCTGAGTGGTTATGTACCTGTGTGTATGATGTCCAGCTTGCTAAGTGCATGATGGGATCTGAACTCTGGTTGTGCAACAAGTGCTTTAACCATAGAGTCATCCCTCCAGCTCCATCCTCACTTTCTTTTGGCGGGGGTACAGAAGGTGGGGGTAGGGGTGAGAATAAGGTCTCACTATGTAACTCCAGCTAACCTAGAACTCATACTGGCCTCAGTCTCACAGAGATCTGCCTGCCTGCCTCTGCTTCTGCCTCCCCTGTGCTGGGATTAATGGGATTAATCTTGAGACCAGGCCACTCATTGCTCATTTTCCTGTATCAGCCTCCAGAGTAGCCATGTCAGTTTTGGAATTTTTATTGTTCCCTACAGATTTCAGATTTGCCAAACCCTCATTTTTGTGAACCAATTCCTTAAAATCACCCCATTAATCCCATCCATCTATCCGTCTGTGCACACTGCCTTTAATCCCAGCACTAGGAGGCAGAAGCAGGCAGATCTCTGAGTTCAGAGCCAGCCTGGTCTACACAGTGAGTTCCAGGCCTACAGGGAGACCCTTGTCTCAAAATAGACCAAAAAAAAAGTTAATGGTCTGAGAGAAAAAAACAAAAAGCTAAGGTCAAAAGCCAGGCATGATGAAACATAGCTCATATCTGGCATTCGGGAGGTGGAAGTTAAAGTGTTGGGAATTCTAGGTCATCCTGTTATGGAGTTCCTAGAAACCAGCTGTCCTCCAACCTACACCCCCCCCCCCCCCCCCCCCCCCCCCCCCCCCCGTGCCCGCTATGACCTCCATCAAATAACTCGTTTTCTTTATATATAAAATGGATTTGAAAAAATGGCTTAACCTGAGTGTGGTGGCACACATCTGTAATCCCAGCAAGTGGGAGGAAAAAGTACTTAAAGCATGATAAATCCAAGGCTAGTTTGAGCTAGTTACAGACCAGCCAGAGTTACATATCCTGTCTCAATAAACAAAACCAAAACAACCTTCCCACAAACTCAAAAAAACAAACACTACAACAAAATACAAAATGGATTGAAAGCTCATCTTGGGGAAAGACAGGCTAAGGGAGGTGTGCTGGGAAAGATCCTCAATTTCCAGGAAATTCTTTAGTTTTTTTCCAGAGTCAAAGCCAGGTATTTACCCTCAGTATTCTTGAATTCTGCCTCTGCAGATTCAACTGTATATAAAACATATTATGGTGGCACATGCCTATAACCGCCCCCACAGGGAAGTGGAAGTAGTCAGTCCATAGAATGTGCCATATATTTACAAGTATGTATGAATTTGAGCCAGCCGTGGTGACCTATGCCTCTAGTCGCAGGCTAACCATCCTGGTCTACATCATTAATTCAGTCCAGCTGGGCTATACAGAGACCCTGGCTCAAGACCCCCACCCCTGCCAAAAATGGTTAATGGCATTTGCTGGCAAGCCTGATGACAAATTTGACCACCAGAACTGGACCAGGTGGAACAACTCCAAGTTCTCTTGCTGTTTCAACAGCCATGCTGTACCACCTCAGTGCTGAGATATACCAAGCATAGAGGTTGCTGGTACAAGCCCATACCATCCCTATGCTCACTTCCACAATCACTGGGAAATTTCCAGTTAACATCATTAAGGCCCACAGAAGTATTACCCTACCTTGTAGGTTGATCTTTAGGCCCCATTCTTCGGGGTCTTGACCTTCATACTGTGCAGGGAGATCCAGCCAGCCCAGGGGCCCAAACTTTTCATTATGACATCATAAGCAATCAGTTTTAGTTTTTGTGCTGGACTATGCATGCTAACAGTTCAAGTGGGATTACTGGGCCAAATATAATTCCCCATATACAGCAATTCACCTAACCAGCAACTCCTTGTGACTAATTTCCCACCCAATAAGGTTTGTGGCCAGCCTTGGTATATGCCTTTAATCCCAGCAAAGGAAAGATGAGGCCAGCCTTAGTTAAGACACTTCAGAGATGGCTCTTGCAGAGTAGTCTTGTTCAGTTCCCGGCACCCACATGACGGCGCCCCTGTCCTTACAGTTCCAGGGATGCACTGATCTACTTGCACCCAAACACACCCAAAAAAACTGGACCCACTGCTCTTACAGAGGACCTGGGTTAGATTCCCAGCACCCATGCAGCTATAAACCATCCTTAACTCCAGTTCCAGGGGAATCCGAAGCCCTCTTCTGACCTCTGCAGCATTGCATGTCACGGGTGCACTCACATACATGCAATGCACTCATACACATAAAATAAAAAAAAACCTTATGACCCACAAACTTGCCACACTAGCACCACCAGAGCAGGGAACCCATAATCCTTGGGAGCAACAAATCAACAGCTGGAATCCTCAAATAGCAACATAATTGGTGTAAAGATGCTTGTTCCTGGATATACCTGGTGCAGAAGGAACCTCCACAAACTGCATACAATGAAGAGGGGAAAAAAGACAAAAAGCAGGAATATACAGCAATCTTTATTTTAATTCAGATGTCAGGCCCTTTACAAATGTTGATGGAATAGAGCCCAAACATTTGTCAACTATAACCCCCAACCTAACTGGCAATGAAGACAATTACATACAAGACTCCATATGTAATTGTAAAATTCAGGACTGAGGCCAGAATCTTAAATATAGGGACAGCTGGTTTCAAAACAACAAATCATGCAGGAGGTTCAACTCCAAGTACTGCCAAACCTGAAACAAAAATTACCAAAATTCCCTCTAGGAAAAGACGCCCCCAAATTAGGTACCAAGTCAGTCAGAAACTGTCAGTCCTCTTCTTTCCTGAATGAAAATAAGCACAGGATTAGATTCCTGAAGATGGCCTTAACTAAAAGCCATAAGCATGTTAAGAACATGTTTCCTGCATGGTTTGTCTTCCCAGTCATTGTCCAGGACTCTGGGAAGTTGTAGGAATATGCAGGCGCAGACTCAAAGCCCAGCTTTATCTCCAACATTGTGGAAAGGGACTGTACATCATGGGGCAGAGCCCTATGCTCCCCTACGCCACTAGGACAGAGCCCGGGGAGAGTGACCTCCCGGGGTATCCATGTTGGATTGCCTGTTCAGTATGAAGTGGCTTAACTTGTGCCAATGGGCTTCAGTGCCCACGTGGCAACTCATGTAGACACAAAACCCATCAGCCGGTAGAATTACCAATCCCCTTTTTAACCCATTTCTAACAGGGGCCTATTATTTACTTCAAGGCTTACAAAATCTAATAACTCTAAGCACTTGGGAGGCAGACGGATCTTTTTGAGTTGAAGCCAGCCTGGTCTACATAGTGAGTTCCAGGACATCTGGGGCTACAGGGAGACCCTGCCTCAAAAAGACAAAAAACATGATACAAAGTAAATGTGAAACCCATGTGCAATGCTATGACTCTTGAACTTTGCTACAGCGACTGTCACTCCAATTCCATTGTCTTTTAAGCCCTCTCTCAACCACTAAGCATGCACCAATCTTACAAGATTGACTGAAAGCAATGTGCACCCATATCCCTACAAAAATGCAGAAAAGCTGTACGCAGACACATCACCTAAAACATGCACTATTAAGTGAAATTCATAACTTACCTCAATGAACCAGGTATTTGGAATCCTCAATTAGGTCTGAAAAATAAGGAATTCCTTTATCAGCAAGCAAAACAGACTAATCCCAGCACTTGGGAGGCAAGCGGAGGACTCTGAGTTCAAGGCCAGCCTGGTCTACATAATGAGTTCCAGGACAGCTGGGGCTACAGGGAGACCCTGTCTCAAAAAGACCAACAAAACAAACAGGTGGACTTACTCCCAGACTGAGTGATCTAGGACTGTTTCCTGCATGGTTTGTCTCCCCAGTCATTGTCTAGAACTCTGGGAAGTTGTAGGAATATGCAGGCCGCAGACTCGAAGCCCAGCTTCATCTCCAACGTTGTGGAAAGGGACTGTACATCATGGGACAGAGCCCTATGCTCCCCTACGCCACTAGGACAGAGCCCGGGGAGAGTGACCTCCCGGGATATACACGTTGGGTAGTCATTTTGAGACAGGTCTCACTATGGAGCCTAGGAACCTGCTTTGTAAACCGGAACAAGAGCTGCCTGCCTCAGCCTCCCAGGTGCAGGGATTAAATGGCGTGCACCACGGCACCCACCCAGCCGTAAGACTTCAATGTAGCTTTAGTCCTTTTATCTGGAAATCAATTCTCAGTTCCCAAAAACTTCAAAATCGGCTCACCAAAACCAAGAAAGGATGATCGATCACTTTAGGTTGAAATCAAGCAGGCGTAGTCGAAAACTGCCCAGACCACGAGTGGCAGAAAAACTGAGAAATTCCAGTTTTCTTTGTGCAAAGCAAACTTTAAATTAAAGAGGCGGAGACCTATGGCTCGGCCAAGACTCTTGGCAGCAGAAGGGGGGCGGGGGGGGGGGTCCGCGCTGGTCACTCACCTCAACCAACGCACAGCAACCTACACTCTTCACGAAAGACCGACGGACCGCCCAGCGTCCGTATTTATACGGTAAGACGTGCCGGATATCCGGAGCAGCCCGGAGCGTCTGCGCCAACGCATGCGCACTTATTCGCATTGCGCTAGGGCTGATGGGATCTACTACCACCTGGGCTCCACCTCTATCCGATTAGGGATCTCTCGCGATTCTAGAGCCTTTGCGGGACCTTAGTAGGGAGTATAAAGTGGGTTTGTGGCCGGTAGGTAGCTAAGTACTTCCCAGATGAGTTACTTAATGTGCGATGGTTTATCCATTCAGAGAATTTGCCTTTAGATATGCTGGCACATGCCAAATAGAGAAGGGGGCTGGGAAATGCCCTCAGGTTGAATCTCCCCTGTTGAGGTGGAAGAAGCGGATCTAAATTAAAAACCTATACACAGCCGGGCGTGTATAGGGACAGGGTCTCCCTATGGCCCCAGCTGTCCTGGAACTCACTATGTAGACCAGGCAGGCCTTGAACTCACAGAGATCCGCCTGCCTCTGCCTCCCAAGTGCTGGGATTAAAGGCATGTATCACTACGCCAGGCGTATTTCAAAATATTTTTGTGGACTTCATGGACACCCAAAGAAACCTCAAGGATCCTCAGCTCTGCTGGCCACACTGAGAACCAGCTGGACTAGTTTCACATTTTAAAATTTGGGTAATGGCATTAATGGCTTCTAGGCTGCATTTTATTTTGTTGTTTTTGTCTTTTGAGACAGGGTCTCCCTGTAGCCCCAGCAGGCCTGGAATTTGTTGTATAGAGCAGGCTGGCCTCAGTCTTAGAGTTCTGCCTGCCTCTGCCTCCTTAGTGCTGGGATTAAAGGCATATGTCACCAGGACTGGTATGGGCTATGCTTTTCTTGTGCATTTTCATCTTTTTATGTTTTATTATTTTTATGTGTGTATATTGTCTGCATGTATGTAAGTGCACCCATGTCATGCAGTGCCCTTGGAGGTCAGAGGGGGCATCAGATCCCTGGAACTGGAGTTAGGGACAGTTGTTAGCTGCCATGTGGGTGCTGGAAACTGAACCTGGGTCCTCTGCAAGAACAGCTAGTTCTCTTAACCCCTGATCCATCTCTCCAGCCCTGAATTCTTTTATAAGACTTCCAGCCCATTCAGTATCACTGAATCTGCTATTATTATTATATTATAGTGTATGTGTGTGTACAGGTCAGAGGACAAGTTTGTGGCATCAGTTCTCTCCTTCCACCTTTATGTGGTTTCCTGGGATTGAACTCAGTTTGTCAGGCTTGGTAGCAAGCACTTTTAAACTACAGAGCCATCTCGCTGGCCCTGGCCTTGTCCTTTCTGATAGTGGCTGCAGACTTCCCTCTCTTGGAGCATCTTCATCCAGAAAGAACTGAATTTCATTCATTGTTCAGCAAAAGCTGGGCAGTGTGCACCTTCAAAACAACTTTCTGCAGTTTAACCCCAAAGGAGCAATGGCAACTTGAGGTCTATTAACTTGGGCCACAGTAATCTGGGAGCAGAGAGACATCCAACTACATGAGTTCTAACTCATGGTTTCTTTTCACTCTTGATAAAGGTTCATGTGCTCAACAAGTGACAGATGGGGAATGAGTCAATGCTGAGGTGACTGTTGAAACTGGGCTGCTTACCAGAAAGCATAGGAAGCAACTGTCCTTTTGTGACATCAGCCTGAGGTTCAATTAGCTGCAGCCATACAGTAGATCCTTGTAGGGTCAACTGATTCGGATGCAAGTACTTGTCTTCAACTATAGACAAAAGTGATTACTTGCTTCACCTTGGGGGAATTTCACCCATTTCTCTAATGGTAAAATGAGTGTTATCTCATTAACCTGACTAGGTGGGGAGGCTGAACAGGACAAGTTGACTAGTGAAGTCCCCGTACATAGGGGAGTCTCAACAGGCTCTTCTTTCTGTAAGTTGTCTTTAAAAAAAGGGGGGGGGGGCTGGAGAGATGGCTTAAGTGGTTAAGAGCATGGCTGCTCTTGCAGAGGACCTGAGTTCACTTCCCAGCACCCACATGGTGGGTAACAACTGCCCATAACTCCAGTTTCAAGGGATCTGAATGCTTCTTCTGATCTCCTTGGGCACTGTATGACACAGGTGCACTAATACACATAATATTTTTTAAAAAAAAATCCATTTTTGACTAGCTGGACATGTTGGCACACACCTTTAATGCCAGGACTTGGGAGGCAGAGGCAGGTGGGTCTCTGTGAGTTCAAAGCTAGCCTGGTCTACATAGGGAGTTCTAGGCCAGCTGGGGCTACAGGGAAACCGTCTCAAAAAGAGGAAAAAAAAATTTCATTTTTGTGTTTTGCCTGCATACATGTAAGTAAATGCACCATGTGTACACCTGGTGCCTACAGAGGCCAGAAGAAATCAGATGCTCTGGAACTGGACGTAAGGGCAGTTATCTGTTGTGGTGCTGGGAACTGAACTCAGGTCCTCTGGAAGAGCAGTAAGTGCTCTTAACTGCTGAGTCATCTCTCCAACCCCTAAAAAATTTGGAGACTGGGTGTAATGTATCCCAAGCTAGCCTTGAATTTGCTATGTTGACCAGGATGATCTTGAACTTCTGATCCTCCTGCCTCCACCTCCAGGGTGGAGATTTTGGGGATTGAACCCAAATTGTATGCTAGGAAAGCAGTCTACCAACTGAGCTATGTCCCCAGCCCTGTGTTTTTATATTTGTGTGCAGACATAAACAAACATGACCAGTTCTCACGTCTGAGTCCATTTAATGCCATTATCATCTCCTTTCATTTAGTTATTACAATATTCTGGGTGTCATGTTTAAGTTGCTTTAATTTTTCTGGACTAGAATAAAACAAAAAATATAGGTCAAGGACGGGGCTTCGTGGTACAGTTCTTGTCTAACAAACACAAGACCCCGGGTTCAATCCCCAACACTGAAAAATTAAATAATAAACAAGTCCAGATTTTTTTTGTACTTCTAAAATACTTTAATAATTAAGATTGGTGAGAAGACTGATATACAATGCAATTATTTATTTTACAAGGAGATCTGTACATTAGGGAAGCATTTTGAAGTACAATACACTAGATTTTTATTCTATCTTTACATCATGATTGTGAGCTTCAAACTTAGAGAAAGAAAATCCACTTTTATATACATAAAAATAGAACAACCGACTAGACAACACCCTAGCATATCATGTTTCATAAGAATACAGATGAAGAGAGATGAACCATAATCTTGATGGCACATAGATGCAGATCAGTCACTTGGGCTTGGCACACTACGGGAAAAGGTCGCAGTGAGGAAAGAGCTGGAAAGTCATCTCACTGCCAGGGCACGATGGGGCACATCTGCATCCCAACACTCAGGAGGTGGAGGCAGGAGGATCAGAAGTTCAAGGTCACCCTTGGTTCCATAGTGTGTCTGAGGCCAGCCTGGGTTACATGAGACCTCTGAACAAAACAAATCAACCAAAGAAAGAAGTCCACCTCAGCCACAGACAATGTAGTAAGCAAAGCAGTCTCTGAACCAACAAGAGATGGCTGGAAGTCAGGGCTGAGGACCCAGCTCAGTGGCAGAGCACTGGCCTAACATATGTGAGACCCTGGGTCCAATCCTCAGCACACAGAAAACAAAACAGCAAAAAAGATAATGGTGAGAAGTCAGAGTGGCAGTTACCATGTGGCTGGCTGCCTGAAATAGGACTTCAAATAGACTTAGTGGAGTCCTCATTAACTTTCCCTTCCTTAACCCAGCTGTTACCAAGCTTTATGGAGATGTGGGTTCAGTATTGTTTCTATACCCATACAATATCTGGCAGTAACAGAAAACAACTACCACCAACAGGAAAAAAAACAAAACAAAAAACTTTTCCCTTGCAGAGAAAATGCTACTTTTTTTTTGGTCTCTTTGAGACAGGGTCTCCCTGTAGCCCCAGCTGTCCTGGAACTCACTATGTAGACCAGGCTGGCCTCAAACTCACAGAGATCCACCTGCCTCTGCCTCCCAAGTGCTGGGATCAAAGGTGTGCGCCACCACGCCCGGCAGCTTCTTTTTTGTTTTGTCCTATATTCTAAGACTTTAGTAAGTTTGATGTTGACATGAAAGCAGAAAAATCTACAGAAAGACGGGATAGGAGACAAAATAAATCAGAAACCTTTAAAACTGCCACAATTCATTAAATATTAAAGTGAAGAAAAACTGGGTATGATTGTTTACACCTACAATCCCAGCACTCAGGAAGCTGAGGAAGATTATAAATCAAAGGGTAGCCTGGGCCACATATTGAGTTGCAGACCAGCCTGGGCTATTGGGCTAAACCCTGTCTCACAAACAAACAACAAACAAAACACAAAACATTTGTTAAATAGAAAGTCTTCTGCTTACAATGTAGATAGAATTAAGAGGAAAATAATGAGGCTGTATGGGCTTCAACAAAAAAATTATTTGAGGTTCATAACCAAATCTGCTAACATACATAACAAACACAATTGGGGAGGGCACTAAGCCAAAAACTCAGGCACCAACCACACTGGCTGCAGCCTAGAATAGGAAAGGCAAGTGAGGTGGAAGCTGCCAGAACAGGTGAGCAGCACTGCGTTGGAGTGCAGAGGGAATGTGCACGGAAAGGCCAACAGCACCAAGGAGGGGGCACTGAGCCATGACTGGCCCCTCCCTCGAGCTTTTCCAAAGACCTTTTCTGATCCAGTACCTCACATCCCTCAGGACCTTGCTGTGATTCTGATTCTGCCTGAAGTATGGGGGCCCAGAGCCCACAAGTGCTCCCACAGGACACCTACAATTTTGCTTCACTAAGAATACATGTATTGATGGAAGTAATTTGCAGTATCATTTGGTACAACAAAAGTACACTAGCCTGTAAAATTTAATCCATGAGTCAGTTCTCTGCCAAACTGGCATTAATATTAAGGCCTTTTTCTTGGTTTGTATATAGAGATGTGCATGGCTTTCTCATTTGACCAACTTGGATTCTGGTTGCAGCTCAGTTCCCATTATTTAAGATAATTTCAAAATAAGCATCAGAATGAAAGCTCATGCCTGCAGTAAAAGTGGCACTTGGGAGGCTGAGGCACGAGTTTGAAGTCTGAGGCCAACAGAGCTACACAGTGAGTTGGGCCAGCCTGAGCTACAGTGTGAAAGTCTGTCTCAAAAGAAAGAAAAAAAGCTGGGATGACGAGTGCCTGAAGGCGGACCATGTCGGACCCTGAGCTTCCTCTCAGGTGTGCATGCCCATGCCCACAGGACCCTATTGCTGTGATAGTGAGGTCAGCACGGTGCTCTGACACATCAGAGACATGCAAAGACTCTGTAAGTGGGGCCCCTTTGCTAGATGAGGGGCCTCCAGAAGATTTTCTCCACCAACTGATTTGACGGCTGGAATTTAGTGCCTACAGGAGTGGGTCTCACAAACAGGGCACACAGGTAAGGCGAGTGGTGCCAACTGTGTCTCAGCACAGGCAGTCATCTTGAGGCAAGGTGTGCTGCAGCTAGTAAAACTTGGACTTGCAAGTGGCTCAGAGCTTTGGGGGCTGGTGAGAGAAAATCTCTCAAGTTTGCCGCGATGTTAAAAAGTTTGAAGGTGTTGACAAAGTGTTTAGCTGTTTTCTAAGGGCAATCCAAGAGAATCAGTTCCAGTGAAAGGTACATTCACAGAAGTGCTTTGTGCCCCAGAACCAGATCCGAGAGCAAGCTTGGCTCTGCTGGGAAGTGCTGGAGCTCTCTCCATGTGTCACCGTGGAGACAAGCAGCAAAACAGCTCCAGGTTTTTAGTTCCTTTCTCAAACTTCAGCATCATGGACGATGGTAGCTGGAACAGGTGTTCAAAGAGAGACAAGTTACCAGACAGTGAAGACTACTTTCTATTAACATTTGTTTAGAAAATAGAAGGCAGGCTGGGTGTGGTGGCACATGCCTTTAATCCCAGCACTCGGGAGGCAGAAGCAGGTGGATATTTGTGAGTTCAAGGCCAGCCTAGTCTACATAGTGAGTTCCAGGTCAGCTGGGGCCACAGGGAAACCCTGTCTCAAAAAAGACCAAACAAACAAACAAACAAAAAACATATAAAGTTTAAGTGTTGCTATCAGTGCCTTGCACATGCTAAGCACATGCTCTGTCACCAAGCTATCCCTTGAGCCCCGGCTGTGCTATTCCTTATTACTAGAAAAGAAAAATTATGTCTTAGCTGGGCATGGCTGCTATAACCCTAACGCTTAGGTGTCTGAGGCAGGAAGACTGCTTTGAGTTCCCAATTTCTTGTTGTACCCCAAGAATCTAGCATTGTATCATGTAGTACGTGCTCAATAAATATTTGTTGAGGGCCAGGCATGATGGCACACATCCTTAATCTTAGCACTTGGGAGGCAGAGGCAGGCAATCTCTGTGAGTTCAAGGTCAGCCTCATCTACATAGTAAATTCCAGGCTAGTCAAGGCTACATAGTGAGACCAAGTCTAAATAAAATTTGTTGTTGCTGGGCATGGTGGCACATGCCTTTACACCCAGGACTCAGGAGGCAGAGGCAGGCGGATCTCTGGGAGTTCAAGGCCAGCCTGGTCTACACAGTGAATTCCAGGCCAGCTGGGGCTACGGGGAGACCCTGTTTCAAAAAGACCAAAAAAAAAAAATTTTTTTTTGTTGTTGTTGAATAGATTAAGCAGATCTCACAAACTACAGACATGCAAATTAGAAATGTGGAGCTCAGTGGTTAAGGGCACTGGCTGCTCTTGCTAAAGACCCCCAGGTGTGATTCTCAGCACTCACATGGCAGCTAACAACTGTCCATAACTCCTGTTCCAGGGGATCCAAAGCCCTCTTCTGACCTCCATAGGCACTGCACAACATGGGTGCACTTACACACATGCAGGCAATACACTCATACACATAAAATAATAAATAAAAAAAATGTGAGTGGTCAGGTATGGTGACTTACATTTGTGATCTCAGCACTTGGAAAGCTAAAATAGAGTATCAAGAGCTTGAGGCCACGGCATGGTGACACAACCCTGTAATCCTTGTACTTTGGGAGGCAGATCACTGTCAATTCGAGGCTAGCCAGGGCTATACAGTAAGACCCTGTCTCTAAAACTAAAAAAACAAACAACAAAAAACCCAGGACTAATGAAAATCGCAAAAATTCAATACCAAAACAAAACAAAACAAACCTAAAACACAACAACTAAAAAGAAAGTAGGGGGAGGGTGTGGAAGCTTAAGTCTCTAATTCCAGCACTTGGAGTTCCATAGCAGCCTTGTATAGGTAAGTTCTAGGCATGGGCTTTATCAAGGGGCCTTCACCATGGCCTCTGGGTTCTTATTCTGTTGTTATTGCTGCTGCTCTTTAATTTTTAAAAAACTAAAAATTTATTTATTTTTTTTCTTTTTGAGACAGGGTCTCCCTGTAGCCCCAGCTGTTCTGGAACTCACTATGTAGACCAGGTTGGCCTTGAACTCACAGTGATCCACCTGCCTCTGCCTCCCAAGTGCTGGGATTAAAGGTGTGCGCCACCATGCCTGGCTATTTTTATTTTATGTGTATATGTATATTGCCTGCATGTAGGTAAGTTCACCCATGTTGTGCAATGTCCACGGAGGACAGAAGAGGCTGTTGGATCCCCTGGAATTGGAGTTACGGACAGCTATTAGCTGTCATGTGGGTGCTGGGATATGAACCTGGATCTTCTGCAAGAACAGCCAGTGTTCTTAACCACTGAGCCATCTCTCCAGCCCCTGCTGCTGCTCTTTTGAAACAAACAGGGCCTAATTTAGTCCAGAATGGCCTGGAACTTGCTATGTGCGCTAGGATGACCTTCAACTCCTGATCTTCCTGCCTCTACCTCTTGAGTACTGGGATAACAGGTGTGTACCACCACACCATTTATGGGGTGTTAGGGTGGAAGCAGGGCTTTTTGCATGGTAGGTAAGCACTCTACCAACTGAGCTATCTGTTTGAATTTATTTATTATTATTTCATTTTTAATGTGTGTACGTTATGATGCGTGTTTATGTAAGTGTAGGCTTGCATATGCCATTTGGAGGTCAGAGGACAACCTCAGGTCTTGGTCCTCCCTCCTACCTATTTAAGGCAAAGTCTCTTATTGTTCACTGGTGTGTAATCAGGTTAGATGGCCCACAAGCTTCCAGGGAATGGCCTGTCTCTGTCAATAGGTACACTGGGTTTCTAGACACACACTGTTGCCATCTGGCTTTACACGGGTTCAGGGGATCCAAACTTATCCTCACACTTTCACAGCAAGTGCTTATCCACAGAGCCATCTCCTATACCCTTGTTTGTTTTTGGACATACTTATTATGTATATGTGTGAGTACCTGTATGAATGTATGAATACCATGTTCTGGTACCTATGAAGGCCAGAAGAGTGCATGGGAACCCCTAAAACTGGAACTAAGGTCCTCTGCAAGAGCAAGCACTCTTAACTGCTGAACTATCTCTCCAGTCCCCTTTTGTACCCTTTCGATACAAAGTTTCATGTAGCCTGGGCTGTCCTTGAACTCATTATATAGCCAGGCTGGCCCTGAACTCCTGATCCTCCTGCCTGGACCTCCCAAGGCTGGGATTACAGGTGTCTACCACCATGCCTGGCTTTCTGAGTGTCCTTAATGAAGTTCTTCATATCTGAACAACTTTCATGTTTGTTGATGGAAATTTTACTTAGTTCCTAGTATTTGGGTCTTTTGGAATCTTACCGTGTAAAATGTTTGCTGTCTTCATGAACCTCCATCTCTGAGCTTTTAAATTCATTCAGTTCTTTTCTTATGGCAGCCTGTAGGGCAGAAATAAGATTTTAGCATCATCTGTCTGCTGTAGGACAGCTGTGTGACTTGCCATGTATCTTTAATGTGTTTAACACTATGAAGTCCTGCAAGCCTTGGCAGCAGCCAGAGGGAAGAAAGAGAGGGGCCAAGAGAGCCAACTAAGCCCTAAGCCAGGGACACATCACTTTCTCAGACACCATGTTCATGCAAAACCTAAAATCTCAAGTTAAAATCAAAGCATTAAAAAAATATAACTTTTGTAGTTTTCACGGCACATTAAATAGATGTATAGATACGAAACGTGTAATTACTAATTTCTTCCAACTATTGCTACTGTTGAAAATGTGTCTTATTTCCTTCTAAAAATTTTATTCTGATACAGCAGATGTTTTGTTCCTGTGTTGATGGTGGGGTCATTAGTATAAAATCTTGTGCTTCTATCTTGGCATCTGTATCTTGCTTTGAAATTTGGCACTTTATCAAATCTAGAAGCTTTGTTGATGGCTTCCTCTTCTAATTAGTAACTCATAGCCTTCCAATAAAGAAAAGCACGAGCATGGCTTGTTTCCTGAGACACCCATGCCCACACTTGGGTGTATCCTGTCTTTTCACTAAGTGCCCCTCTTTCTGTTACCCCCATGCTGAAATCTATGTTAAAATCTCTCTTAAAAAACTCTACCTGTGCTTCAAAATAAAATAATAATAAAAGAGAAGAAAGCCAGCATGAAGCAGAACATGTAACCATTTTCAAGTTACCTTGTCAGCAGGAGTCAGTTTGGTCCACGGCTTATCTGCTCGCCGGTCATAATCCTGAGCATCTGTTACCTCTACATATTCATTAAACCTCAGGATCTTCCTGGCAAGTAGTTCAGCCACAGTTGGCCTTTGACTGAGCTGAAAAAAACAGAGCCTTTTAACTTATTATGCCAGAAATTAGCCAATAATGCATTTAAATTGCATTTAACTTTCATTCAACATGAGTTATCTGGGGAGCTTTTTTCTTTCTTTCTTGCCAGGCGTGGTGGCACACGTCTTTAATCTTAGCACTTGGAAGGCAGAGGCAGTTGGATCTCTGAGTTCCAGTCCAGTCTGGTCTATATAGTGAGTTCCAGGCCAGCTGGGGCTACAAAGAAACCCAGTCTCAAAAAGACCAAAAAAAAGCAATCCTTCGGAAGACTCAGGCTCCTGAGTGCCAGGATTGCACTAGGTGGCTAGGAGCCACCACACCCAGATTACTTGGGGGAAGCTCTAATGATTACCAAACCCTGGGTCCCATCCTCCCCAAGAATTCTAGGTATCAAGAGTTTAGTTTTGGGTACGGAGACAGCTTAGTGGGGAAAGGCACTTGCTGCCAAGACTGATAAATCAAATTCAGTCCATGGGAACCACATGGTAGGAGAGAACTGGTACCCACAAGTTGTTCTCTGGCCTCGACATGCATACTGTGTAGCAGCTCCCCATATCATTTACTTCAGTGCACTACTAATTCTGAGAAATACTATCATAGTACGATGCTTCTGAAACTTTAATATGTGTACTGATCATTTGAGGATATAGCTCATGTATAGATGCTGGCCTGAGGATTTAACTCAGTAGCAGAACATGTTTAACAAAGTTGAAGTTCTTGGTTCAATCCCAGCACTTGCTCTTTTATCATCTGCACCCCGCCTCCCAAAAGTAGATTGTGATTAAGTGGGTCTAAATAAAGCCTGAGATTAAGCAGCTTTGAGAAGCTCCCAGGTGATACCAGTGCTGCTGGTCTATGGACACTTCGGGCAGCGAGGCTACCATAATAGCAGGTTCTATAATTAGGTAATCTACTCAATGTTAAGGCAGTAAGCCCAGGAATGGTCAAGGATAATATTCCTCCAATCCCATCCCGGAGAAGAAAAATGTAGAATAATTTCAGAAAGTATATCTGCACCTTTAATACCAGCATTTGGGAGGCAGAGGCAGGCAGATCTTTGTGAGTTTGAGGCCAGCCTGGTCTACATAGTGAGTTCCAGGACAGCTGGGGCTACAGGGAAACTCTGTCTCAAAAAGACAAAAAAAAAAAAAAAAAAAAAAAAAAAAAAAAAAAAAATCCAACTCTCTCTCCTAGGAATTCCTTTTTTTTAGGTTTAGTCTTTATTTCCCTTCTTTTTATTAAGGCCAGTATTCCATTGCACATGTATTCCACATTTTTTTTTAACATTCATCTATTCACGGACACTTGGACTGCTTCCACCTTTTTGTTACTGTGAATAATGCTGCTCTGAGTGTAGTATGCCAAGCCACTGCCTCACAGAGAATTCCTTTTTTATTTATTTTTTTGGTCTTTTTGAGACAGGGCCTCCCTATAGCCCCAGCTGGCCTACAACTTGCTATATAGACCAGGCTGGCCTTGAACACACAGAGCTCTGCCTGCCTCTGCCTTGGAGTGCTGGGATTACAGGCGTGTGCCACCACACCCAGCTTTTAGGATTCCTTTTTTAAAAAAGAGTTATTATTTCTAATTTTATGTGTATGAGTGTATTGCCTACATCATTTATGTAAGTGCACCCATCTCAGGCAATGCCCACGGAAGTCTGAAGAGGACATTGGGTCCCCTGGAACTGGAGTTTGGGATGGTATTAGGTGCCAGGTAGGTGCTGGGATCCGAATTTGAGTCATCTGCAAGAGTAGCCAGTCCTCTTAACTGCTGAACCATCTCTCCAGGCCCATAAGTATGTATTTTCATACAGATCTATGACACTACAAGTCAGATTTGGTCATTCCCATCAAACAGGTTATCCAAACAGAAAACACACAGTACCTTTCTAGTGAGCCGACGTTTAATCTCTCGTTTCTCTGCTTGCCGATCAGCTTCATTTTTAGCTTCAATTGACAGACACAAAGGATTTTATTCCAAAATGGCAATTCTCATTTCAAACACTGTAACAATTACAACACCGCTATTTCTTAGAGGTCAAAATCCTGATAAAACACTCTATTTGGGAATGGCTTATCAAGATGGTTTTCTTGGACTGGGCCTGATGGTCAGCATGCCTTTAGTCCCAGCACTTGGGAGGCAGAGGCAGGCAGATCTCTGTGAGACTGAGGCCAGCTTGGTCTCCATAGTGATTAGGTGGGGAGACCCTGTCTCAAAAACAAACCAAAACAAATCTTAAAGGAAGAGGAAAAAAAAAAAAAAAAAAAAAAAAAAAAAATTTCCAGAGTAACAAGGAACAGCTGTATATCACACCAAGTTTCGAGGGGAGAGTTGTTATCTACAAAGGTTCTCAAAGGGGACTGAAACGCAAATATTCAAATATCACTGAGAAAGCAGTGACCATGGTTAGACAGCACGTCTGCATGCAACTCCAGGAGAGCCTAAGATGCTGCATTAAAAATTTTAAATTGTGCCAGGTATGGTGGCGCACACCTTTAATCCCAGCACCCGGGAGGCAGAGGCAGGCGGATCTCTGTGAGTTCAAGGCCAGCCTGGTCTACATAGTGAGTTCCAGGACAGCTGGGGCTACAGGGAGACCCTGTCTCAAAAAGAACAACAACAAAAAATTTTTAATTGTGGGGCTGGAGAGGTGGCTCAGCAGTTAAGAGCACTGACTGACTGCTCTTGCAGAGGAGCCGGGTTCAATTCCCAGTACCCACATGGCGGCCATGAACCGTCCTTAACTCCAGTTCCAGGGGAATCCGAAGCCCTCTTCTGACCTCTGCGCACTCACATACATGCAGGCAATACACTCATGCACATTTAAAAAAAACAAAAATTTAAATTGCATTTTATGTGGGTTTTTTTTTTTTTTGGTCTTTTTTGAGACAGGGTCTCCCTGTAGCCCCAGGGCCTGGAACTCACTATGTAGACCAGGCTGGCCTTGAACTCTCAGAGATCTGCCTGCCTCTGCCTCCTGAGTGCTGGAATTAAAGGTGTGGACCACAACATCTGGCACCTGCCCCTACGAGTGTTTTTTTTTATTTTTTAATTTTTATTGTTTTATGTGTATGAGTGTATTGCCTGCATGTATGTGAGTGCACCCGTGTTGGGCTTTAGAATCCCCTGGAACTGGAGTTAAGGATGGTTAGCACCTGCCATGTGGGTGCTGGGAATCAAACCTGGGCCCTCTGCAAGAGCAGTCAGTGCTCTTAACTGCTGAGCCATCTCTCCAGCCCAGTATGAGTTTCTTTTAAAATTTTCTTTATTTTTATTTTATGTATATGCAAGTATTGCCTGAATGTAGGTAAGTGCACCTGTGTTGTGCAATGCCCGCAGAGGTCAGAAGAGGCTGTCGGATTCTCTGGGACTGGAGTTATGGACAGTTGTTAGCTGCCACATGGGTGCTGGTATTCGAACCTGGGTTTTCTGCAAGAACAACCAGTGTTCCTAACCGCTGGGCCATCTCTCCAGCCCCCATGAGTGTTTTTTTAAGTTACATTTTATGTGTATGAGTGTTCTGTCTCCTATGTGTGTGACATGCATCCACTGCCTGTGGAGGTCAGAAAAGGGCCCTGGATCCCCTGAAACTGGAGTTATGGATGATTGTTAGCTTCCATGTGGGTGCTGGGAACTGAACCAAGTCCTCTGCAAGAGCAGCCGGTGCTCTTAATGGCTGAGCTATCTCTCCAGTCCCAATCCACCTCCATATCCATGTCTATAGGGATGGGATAAATAAGAGTTGCCTAGAAGAATTCACTTCCCAAAAGGTCCAACATGGTGGACATAGCCAGTGGGATAGGATTTGGGACCCAAAGACAGGGTATTCCAGGACACAGCTGATCCCTCTCATAGGAGCTCAGGCCCCTTGCTGTGGTAGGTACTTCCAAGGGATAAGGACAAAGAGGGACCTCAAGGAAGGGGTGTAGTCTAGAGTCCCAAGGCTGTCTTGAATACCAAGATTGAGGGCCAAGAGCAAGAATCCATGTTGTGCATAGGGACTGAGATGGCCTGAGGTGAGAAGGGCATAGGAGAGCAAAGGTAAAAAGGCCTGACAGAGACTATCTCTGGCCATTTTAAACAGATGTGATTTTAACTGGGTGGGAGGCAAGCAGATGAGGCTGCAGAGCCTTGGTCTAGAACAAAAACAGTGATGAGATGGGGGTAGGATGTGGGATTGCCATCTGTCCTCAGTAGTCCCAGGCTCCAAAAGAGGAATGGGGAGGGGACTGCAGGGCACACGTTTGAACCTAAAGTTCACATTTTACTCAAAACTGGTAAAGCAAAGCCATCCTAGATTAGAATGCTGTTTTAGAAAAGTAATGGTGGACACAGACAGCAAGTTAAATACACCCTATTTGGTGGCTGCAGAAGTAAAAGTCTCAAGGGATGAGAGCAGAAGGGAAACCATGTCATTAGGGGCTTGGTGTGGGCCCTAGTCCTGAGTCCTCTAGAATAGGAATGTTTGTCTGCTCCATCAGCACAGTCACCTTAGCTCCCCCAAACACAGAAAAGGGGGGCCTCGCCTCCCACTCCCTGTCACATTCTCTCAAATGCTCAAAGCAGATCCAGGATACGGTGAGAACATTAAAACAAAATTTTCTGGTTTACCAGAGTACACTAAAAAATACTATGGTGACATTTTCCTAAGAAGCTTGGGCTTCCCTGGTGAGAACACTCCTCGCTCCTTTCAGCAAATGCTTTTTTTTTTCAATGTGTATTAAAATATATTTCATAAACATATTTCTATAGCTGGACTTACGCTGTAGTATGTTTCGTTGTTCTAGTTCTTCTGGTGTTGGCCTTTGACTCAGTCGACTAAAAAGAGATACATAGGATATTCATTATTATTGTTATTAAGCCTCAGGAGACTTGTTATAAAAAGGGTTATTTTTGCCAAGATTTATATTGACCCCTAAAAAAGAAATCAATAAAATTTCTAATAAATATACTTCATTTGCTCATTTATTATGAAACAATTTTCCCATGAAAGTGCTAACTGACGAACCATATTATGCTGTGTGGTGATAATGCCTGTAATGCCAGCATTTGGGAGGGTAGAGGCAGAAAGATTAGGAATTCAAGGTCATCCTTGGCTACATTGGGAGTTTGAGGCTAGCTTAAAGCTACAGGAGACCCGGCATCAAAACAGAAAGGGTATGTGTGTGTCAGGCATAGTGGTGCATGCCTTTAATCCCAACACTCTGGAGGCAGAGGCAGTGGATCTCTGTGAGTTCAAGGCCAGTCTGGTCTTTACAATGAGTGCCAGGCCAGACCAAGGGAGACCCTGTTTCAAAAAAAAAAAAAAAAAAAAAAAGGGTCTGTGTATATAGAGATGACTTTGTGGTTAACAGTACTTGCTATGCAAGCATGAGGACCAGAGTTCAGGTCCCAACATCCATGGCAACAAACTGTAGTGTGTGTGTGGAGGTTGGGATCGAGGGACAGAACTGTGACTTATTGGCTTCTAGCCTAGCTAAAAAAAGAAGGGAGTTCCAGGTTCAGGGAGAAATTCTACCTTAAAGAAAAAGAAAAGGGGAAGAAAAAGTTAATTGCTTATAATCCTATACCCTATAAAAAGGAGAGTTGGCAAACTTCTATAAAGGGCTGGAAATAAATATTTTAGTTGGATGTGGGGCACACACCTATAATTTTATTTATTTTTATAATATTTTATTTATTTTTATTTTATGTGTGTGAGTGTACTGCCTGCATGTATGTGAGTGCACCCATGTTGTGCAATGCCTCGGAGGTCAGAAGAGAGCTTCGGATTTCCCTGGAACTGGAGTTAAGGATGGTTTGTAGCTGCCATGTGGGTGCTGGGAATCGAACCTGGGTCCTCTGCAAGAGCAGTCAGTGCTCTAAACTTCTGAGCCAACTCTCCAGCCCCACACCTGTAATTTTAGAACTAGGGAGGTAGAGGTAGGAGGATCAGGAATTCAAGATCATCCGCAGGTACATAATGAGTTCAAGTACAGCCTAGGACTAACATGAGACCCTTCCTCAAAAACTAATTTTTTTTTTTTTTAGTCCTTTTTGAAACAGTGTCTCCCTGTAGCCCCAGCTGGCCTGGCATTTACTATGTAGACCAGGCTGGCCTTGAACTCACAGAGCTCCACCTGCCTCTGCCTCCCAAGTGCTAGGCCTAAAGGCATGTGCCACTATGCCCAGCTCATTTTATATTATTTTCCAGTGCTTTTGTTTGATGGTCTGGTCTGGTTTGGGTTAGGGTGCTGGGGAGAGAATCGAGGGCCTCATAAAGATATAGACAAATGGCCTACCGGAAAGCTACATATATATATGCAGCTCTTTCCCAGTGTTTTTCTATTCATGTTTCACATGGCACAGCTACTGTTTCTGTCATAACAATTTTCCTTTTTTCATACAGTCTTTCTAGTTATTACTATTGGTCACTATGTGTCAATCCATTGAATTGATTCTTTAAAAAATTTTTATTATTTTTATTTTATGTGTATGTATTGCCTGCATGTAGGTAAGTGCACCTGTGTTGTGAAATGCCTGTGGAGGTCAGAAGAGGCTGTCAGATCCCCTGGAACTGGAGTTACAGACAGTTGTTAGCTGCCATGTGGGTCTTGGGATTCCACTCAGATCCTTCTGCAAGAACAACCAGTGTTCTTTTTTTTAAAATAATATATTTCATTTATTATTTTTATTTTATGTGTATGAGTGTATTGCCTGCATGTATATGAGTGCACCTGTGTCGTGCAATGCCATGGAGGTCAGAAGAGGGCTATGGATTCTCCTGGAACTGGAGTTAAGGATGGTTTGTAGCCGCTATGTGGGTGTTGGGAATCGAACCCGGGTCTTCTGCAAGAGCAGTCAGTGCTCTTAACCACTGAGCCATCTCTCCAGCCCCTGAACTGATATTTTTTTTTTACAATTTATTGAGTCATAACCCTGCCAGACAATGGTTGCCTCTCATTTTTTGCTATTCTAGTTAATTCTAAGTCAGTGGTTCTCATACTTTAGCATTCATTTGGCAGGCTTCAGTTACCTGATAGGCTTGTCTGAAAAACAAATCGAGCTCCATCCAGAGTTTTTGCTGAAGGTGGGGCCTGATTTGTATTTCTTGTTCACACAGTTGGTCCTGGGATGTCTCCACCATGCCCAGCTGCAGAATCAGTGTTCTCAGTGCAAGACTTTCACTGTTGTTTTTGCTATCATTATTTTGAGACAGTCTCACACTATAGCCTAAGCTGGTCTGGAGCTCACTATGTAGTTTAAACTGGTCTTGGACCTGTGACAATATTTCCTACCTTAGCCTCACACATTCTGGGATTTACAGGTATCAACTACCATACACCAGAAGTCTTTCCCTTCCACTACCTCTGTTTTTGTCAGAAAATGTAGAATTAGTATTCATGGTCCTCAACAGTGACTCTTTTCTCCTCACTGTGTAGACCATCCTAGGCTGGCCCCCATTTCACAGCAATCCACCTGCCTCTGCCTCTTGAGTATTGGGGTGTTGGGATTTAAAGCGTATACCACTTTTTCTTTTTCAATTAAAATAATTTTTATTTATTAATTATCATTGGGAACTAGAGAGATGGCCCACTGGCTGCTCTTTCAGAGGACCAGGTTCAGTTCCCAGCACCCACATGGTGACTAACAACTGTCTGTAACTCCAGTTCCAGGGGATCTGACACCCTCTTCTGACCTCTGTGGGCACTGCACAACAGGGGTGCACTTAAATACAAGCAGGCAATACACTCATAGACATAAAAATATTAATTTTTAAAAATTACTATTATTGGGGCTGGAGAGCTAGCTCAGTGGTTAAGAACACTGGCTGCTCTTTCAGAGGACCATCCATAACTCCAGTTCAGGGGATCTGATACCCTCTTCTGACCTCCATGGGCTCTGCACAACACAGGCACACTCACAGTGCAGGTAAGACACTCATATACATTAAAAAAAAAAAAAAAATTTTAAAGAAATTAGAAAAAAGGCTGTTATGGCCAAATAAGACATCTAGGCTCAAGAGAAGTAAGATAGGGAATAGAAATTTGAGAAGGCCAGGCTAGCCTTGACCTCACAAAGATCTGTCTGCCTCTGCCTCCCAAGTACCGGTATTAAAGGTGTGCATTACTATGTCTGGCTTTTTATTATTTTAAAATTTATTTGCATTTCATGTAAATGGTGTTTTGCCTGCATGCATATAAGTGTGCCACATGCATGCAGTGCCAGCAGAGGAAAAGAAGGCATCAGATCCCCTGGAACTAGAGCTACAGATGCAATGTGGGTACTGGGAACTGAACCCAGGTCCTCTGCAAGGACACCAAGAGCTCTTAACCTCTGAGTCATCTCTCTAGCTCTCAGTTTCTTTCTTTTCAAAAACATTTTTTTGAATTTATTTATTTTTATTTTATGTGTATGAGAGTTTTCTCTACATGTATTAAAGTATACCATGTGCATGCATTGCCAGTGGAGGACAGAAGAGGGTGTCATATCGTCATATCCCGAGTTAAGGACAGGTGTTAGCTGTCATGTGGGTGCTGGGAACCAAACTCAGGTCTTCTGGAAAGACACTAAGTGCTCTTACTTGCTACACCATCTCTCCAGCCCCTTTTCTTTCCTTCATTCTTTTTTTTTTTTTAACAATCTTTTTTTTTTTTTTTTTGGTGTTTTTGAGACAGGGTCTCCCTGTAGTGGGGGCTGGCCTGGAACCTACTGTGCAGGCCAGGCTGGCATTGAACTCACAGGGATCTGCCTGTTTCTGCCTCCTGAGTGCTGGGACTATAGGCGTGTGCCACCACACCTGGCTCTTTTTAAAATTAAATTTTATTTATTTATTTATTATTTATCTATCTATCTATCTATCTATCTATCTATCTATCTATCTATCTATCTATTTATTTATTTGTGTGTGTGTGATGGCACATGGATGGAGGTCAGAGAACAACCATGGGAGTTGGTGCTTTTCTTTTACCATGTGTGTCCCAGGAATTAAACTCAATTCATCAGGCCTGGTGACAAGTACCTTTACTGACTGAGTCATCTTGCTCCCTACTTTTTCTTTTTTTTCCTGTAATTTTCTAACTATTAATATAAATGAACATGCTGCTGTCTAGTTGCTCTAGGACCATCAAACTGTCAAGTTCAGAACCTTTAACATGCTGTATCTAATGTTTTTTAGAAATTATTCTTTTAAAAAAAGGACATGGGCTGGAGAGATAGCTCAGTGGATAAGGGTACAGGCTGCTCTTGTAGAAGACCCTGGTTCAGATCCCAGCGCCCATATGACAGCTAACAACTGTCTGAAACTCCAGTTCCAGGGGATGTGATGCTCTCTTATGGCTTCCTTGGGCACTGAACACACATGGTACACTTACATGCATGCAGGCAAAACACAAACACATAAAACAAAAATTAAAAAAATTCTTTTTAAAAAGGACACATGAATGCCTCACTATAAGGTAGGTGTCTAACACACATACAGCCATGCTCAAACAAATGCAGCCAATCTGGTCAATGGCCTACCGAATCAGTGTGTTCCCAATCTGGTGCCGTATTTCATTCCACTCTTCCTTGCTTTTACGAGGCCAAGAATTCAAGTTCAATTCTGTTTCAATGGGTCTGTGGTTCAACTTCATTGCTAGCGTGTCTTTCCTCTTAACTTTGTTGGCCAGAGCACCTTTACAGAGGGGGAGAAAATGTTGAAGCATGAAGCTAAAGGCTCTATGTCATGTGGAACTGGACAAACCTGTATGAATGTTAACTTCCAGCTGCCCATTTGGCTTTAGATGATCCAGCCAAACACAGAGGAGGGGCTATAGCAGAAGACATCTAAAAATCTTCAAGGCAAAATGGACTCAGATATGTAAAAGATAACTTATTTTATCAGCCCGCTACATCTTCCTCCCTTTAGTGTGAATTTTTAGAAAGAATTTAGTATGTTCTGGGATAGTCCTCTGAATTTAAACATGAACGCTTTTATATTAATATATCTCAGAATCTGTTTATTGTTGTTTTGAGATAGAATTTTGCTATGTTGCCCAGGCTGGTCTCAAATTCCTGAGTTCAATTAATTATCTTACCTCAGCTGTTTCAGTAGCTAAAACTACATATGACTAACCAACCTCCCTCCCTTCCTCCTTTTGTTTTGAGACAGGGTTTCATTCATGTGGTTAACCTTTTTTTTTTTTTTTTGTCTTTTTGAGACAGGGTCTCCATGTAGCCCCAGCTGTCCTGGAACTATGTAGACCAGGCTGGCTTTGAACTCACAGAGATCCACCTGCCTCTGTCTCCCGAGTGCTGGGATTAAAGGCCTGTGCCACCACGCCCAGCAGTGGTTAACCTTCTTAAAGCTTCCTTTCAACTTAATTTTTTTTTACATTTATTTAAAAGATTTACTTACAAAAAAAAAAAAAAAGAAAAAGAAAAAAAAGATTTACTTATTTTGGGAGCTGGAGAGATGGCTCAGCAGTTAAGAGCACTGACTGCTCTTGCAGAGGACCCGGTTTGATTCCCAGCACCCACATGGTGGCTATGAACAGTCCTTAACTCCAGTTCCAGGGGAATCCGAAGCCCTCTTCTGACCTCTGCAGCATTGTATGACACGGATGCATTCAAATACATGCAGGCAATACACTTGTACACATAAAATAAAAATAATGTATATATATAAAAGATAGTTTACTAATTTTTATTTTATGTGTATAATTGTTTTGCTTGCATGTATATATGAGTACCACATGTGTGCCTGGTGCTGCAGAGAACATATGAGGGTGTCAGACCTCCTGGTACTGGAGTTACAGAGAGCTGTGAGCTGCCATGGAGGTGATAGAAACCAAACCCTAGTCCTCTGAAAGAGCAGCAAGTATTCTTTTTTAAAAAAATTATTTTATTTATTATTTTTACTTTATGCGTATGCATGTATTGCCTGAGTGCAGGTAAGTGTACCCCTGTTGTGCAATGCCGTCGGAAGACAGAAGAGGCTGTTGGATCCCCTGGAACTGGAGTTCCGGACAAGTGTTAGCTGCCATATGGGGGCTGGGATTCGAACCTGGGTCTTCTGCAAGAACAACCAGTGTTCTTAACAGCTGAGCCATCTCTCTAGCCCCCAAGAGCAGCAAGTATTCTTAACCATTGAGCCATCTCTCCAGCCTGATTTATTTATTTGGGTGTGAGTCACCCACCACATGCAACAGAACACACTTTCATTATACTGAAGAGAAGCCATCGCTTTTCTTTTTTTCTTGGAGCTGAGGACTGGACTCAGGGCCTTGCACTTGCTAGGCAAGTGCTCTATTACTGAACTAAACTCTCAACCCTGGTCACTTATCTTTTCAACTTAACCTATGTGCAGTTACTATCTTCAAAGTGAATAGGCTTTGGGGGTTTTTGGTACTGAGGACTGACTCTAGGGCCTTGTACATACTTACCACATGTACATGTTCTACAACTGAACTAAACCTCTGGTCCCTTTGGGTTCTAAAATAGAAACCCAAAGTCTGAATGATTCAGTCTGTGTGGCTCCCTCCCATGCCTTGTTTCAGTAGAGGGATGGTAAGAGGAAGGAGGAGTCTTTCACACTGCCTTCCAACAACAGCCAGATGACTCTGGAATGGGGTGCCTGTTTCCAGTCACTCTAAATTTGCTAAGGTGAAGTAGTTTTATCTGTAAAAGGATTTTCTTGCTGGGGATCTAGCTCATTGGTAGAGGGCTTGCCCTTCAGTCTCTAGCACCACACAAAAGAGAATTTTCTCTTGTGCTTCCCCTTTGGCTTCTTACTCTGATGGCTTTCCTCATTGTCATCTTCATCCTCTTCATCTCGGTATGGAATGGGACCCTCTGAATCTGAGTCACTTTCCTTCTCTTCCTCTTGCAGACATTGTGGTAGTTTAGGAGTGACAGAGGTAGATGTCACATCTTCAACAAATGCCAATGGACAGATTTGCTCCTCTTCTTCTTCATCGTCTGGACTAACAAATTAATATAATTATATATTTTTTTCAGAAACAGTGAGGATTTTCAAGAGAAAGGATTGAAACATACATAAAAAGTCCATTAACGGGATAACTTATAAATCCCTCTCTTAACTTTAACACTCTTCCTAAGAAACTTTTTAGTATCTATGAGTCTAAAAGGCACTGGGTTCAAATCCCAGCTGTTTCTTACTAGACACGGACACTTTCTAGCATTTGCCTAATTTGATCCATAAAAGCTTTCAGAGTAGATACTACTCATTTACAGAGAATATAACTGAAAACAGAAAGGCTGTGCTAACATCTTACAATGCAAAGGCTCTTAAGCACCACGTAATACATGTGTATCATATTAAACCAGGTTTGAATGTTCATATTTACAAGCAGGTAATTTTGGTGTTGACATAAAAATCTGTTAAAAACAAAAGGTTATAGGAATCAGCAGGGTAAAAAGTCCAAGTTCTAGAACTTACACTTTTAGCAAAACATTCTTTGTACCTTACATTCATTCACACTTTCAGAAGATTTTCCCAAATGGATCTGCCTGAGGTAAATGTACAGTAATGAGAAGCAGGTGGTTGGGATACTCACACTTTCAACATTTCAATAGTGATGGGAAGTGACCGAGTCCGACCCAGGGTGCCGCTGTCCTCAGAAAAGTGGTCAGTGTTCTCAAAGAGCAGTGAATGAGCTCGATGAGAACCTTCCAGGGGAGGAGTCATGGGAAGGGGACTGGTTAGGGCCTGCTGAATCCGGATATGCAGTGGGAGTGGGGGCAACCTCGCAGGGATGTGGGGCTCCCCAGAGCTCTGGTTCAGTATCTTCTTGGGGACTTCCTTTTTCTGATCTTCCTGCTGGGGAACCTCCTGGGACTGATCTAAAGAAGGTGAAAGCAAAACTTCTGGCACAATGTGAAAAGTCTTAGCAGGGAATGGAGGGGACCTTGGGGGCTCTGGCGGTATGTGAGTAGGCAGTGGGGGTGATGGGGAGGAAGGTGGGGTTATCAGCAGTGGTTCAGGGCCCACAGAGCACATGTTTTCTCTTTGATCACTTGGTGTTTTTATTGTGACAGCAGCAGTAGGTTCCAGGGTGGGTACCAAGGTTGACGAAATGCCTCTCTTGGGTGGTAAGGGCGGGGATGGTTTTGACAACAGTGTACCACAGTTTATTGCTTGGGACAATTCAGCTGGAAAAGAGAAAGCAACACTTTAATAATATGACTCTACAAGACACTGAAGGGCCAGTTCAGACCTACAATCAGAGCTGGGGTCAGTCTTAAATCTTTTAAGCAAATTATATAATTTCACGGCTTTGCCATTCCTTATATATCTCACTCGGACACAAAAGCTGTACTTATTCAGGTAGAACGTCTAATGAATAGAGGTATAGGGAAATTTTGATGATTAACATTTCATTACTATGACAACTCTATAAGCTAATATGGGGATAATGTTAATAGGATGAGAACCCAAAACAACAACAAAACACTGATTAAAGTTCTTTTGAATTAAAAAAAAAAAAAAAAAAAAGCCAGCTGTGGCAGTGCACACCTTCAATCCCAGCACTTGGGAGGCAGAGGCAGGTGGATCTCTGTGAGTCCAGCCTGGTCTACATAGTAAGTTGCAGGCCACCAGCTGGGGCTATAGGGAAACCCTGTCTCAAAAAGACCAAAAAAAAAAGAAAAGAAAAAGAAAATTCTTCTGTAAAATACCACTCCATTAAGAATTCAAACACTCAGACTTGGCTTGGTGGCGCATGCCTTTAGTCAGACAGGCGGATCTCTGTAAGTTCAAGGCCAGCCTGGTCTACATAGTGAGTTCAGGTCAGTTGGGACTACAGGGCGACCCTGTCTGAAAAAGACAAAAAAAAAGAATTTAAACACTGATGGGCTGGAGAGATGGCTCAGTGGTTATAAGCACTGGCTGCTCTTGTGGAGGACTTGGGTTCAATTCCCAGCACTCACATGGCAGCTAAAAATAGTCTGCAATTCCAATTCCAGGGGATCTGACAACCTCTTCTGACTTTTGCAGGCACTGCATGCACAGGTACATTTACATACATGTAGGCAAAACACTCATACATACAAAATAATAATAAATAAAAAATAATAAATAGGGGTTGGAGAGATGGCTCAGCAGTTAAGAGCAGTGGCTGCTCTTGCAGAGGACCTGGGTTTGATTCCTAGCACCCACATGGTGGCTGCGAACAGTCCTTAACTCCAGTTCCAGGGGATCTGATGCCCTCTTCTGACTTCTGCAGGCATTGCATGACATGGGTGCACTTACATACATGCAGGCAATATATTCATACACATACAATTAAAAAAAAATAAAAAGAATTTAAACATTCATATAGTAATTTTTTGTTCCTCCCTATTTTTTGAGTCAGGGTCTCCCTGTAGCCTCAGCTAGCCTGGAACTCACTATGTAGACCAGGCTGGACTTGAACTAACAGAGATCCACATGCCTCTGCCTCCTAAGTGCTGGGATTAAAGGCATGTGCCACCACCCCAGCCTCATCTAGTAATTTTTAAAGTAATAGAAATAGAGGCAGTTTATAAAGAGAAAGGCACTCCCATGTATGGGAGTGGGCCAGTGAGCTAGGAAAAGGCATGTGCTCAAAAGCCCAGATAGCAATATTAAAAACTTGAGGGGAGAGGGGCTCATGGGGCTCCTCTCCTTCCTGACAATCCCTAGGCAGTGAATGATTGCTGAGAGAGGAAAAGATACTTTTTTCAGTGGTATAGCCACTAGCAAGTTGTCCATGCTGCTATAAATAACCCCTTAATCCATACTCCGTGTGTGTGTGTGTGTGTGTGTGTGTGTGTGTGTGTGTGTGTGTGTGTGTGTGTATGAGTCTGGCAAGTCTTGATTTTAAAAACCAAACCACCTGGGTGGGGAAGAGGCTTAGTGGATGAGGGCACATGCCTCCAAGCCTGATGACCTGAGTTTGATCCCCAGAACTCTTGGTGAAAGGAGAGACTTGATTCTCAAAAGCTATTCTCTGACCTCCGTAACCCCATTATGGTATGCGCACACCTGCACTCTCTCACACACATTATATACACCATAATAAAAAATAAATAAAAACGGGTCTGGAGAGATGGCTCAGCAGTTAAGAACACTGGTTGTTCTTGCAGAAGACCCAGGTTTGAATCCTAGCACCCATATGGCAGCTAACAACTGTCCATAACTCCAGTTCCAGGGG